CCCTATCTCTGAGTTAGCTACGCTAAGGACTGGTCGCCGCCTTTAATCCTCTAAGTGCAATTCATAAGTAGATGGAGCAATCGGCCTTTGCCAGGGGTAATGGACTGGCATGGAACTGTGACCACTTTTAATTGCATTTTTCATTTGTAAAATTTGTAATCTGGCATAATTTGGGGAAAGAGGTCCTGCTGGTAACATCTGTCTGCCTCCCTCCCTCTCATTCCCTCCATCTCTCTCTCTCCTCATTCAATCAGGGAAGACTAGCAGGAGTAGGGGGAGAAGACCTGCCAACGATTGTCCTGGTAGCTCACTATGATTCCTTTGGTGTGGCACCGGTGAGCCCCCCCACCGCCATCCTTGCAGCGCGGTCTGTGACACGCCAGTTGCCTGTGAAGTGGTTAAGCGCTGTTTGAAGGGCAGTGCAGTCTGCCGGCTTGTCTAAGGTGGTGGCCAGAGGTGGAAAGTTCAGGTCCAGAAAGTAAATCCAGGCCAAGATTTTGTTTGACTCGCCCTTTAAAGGCAGCATAGACGTGGCCCTGTTAGGCAGCGTTCCCCCTTCCGTGCGGAGCGCCCCCTGCTGTCATGCAGTGACCTGTGGCCTCTCCTCTTCCCCAGTGGCTCTCGTACGGTGCTGACTCCAACGGCAGTGGTGTGTCTGTGCTGCTGGAGCTGGCCCGCCTCTTCTCACGGCTCTACACCTACAAGAGGACACATGCGGGGTAGGTGTCTGGGCCGGCCCCCTCCCAAGGCGGCCCCTGGTGTTGCTGTTCTGATCGCGTGCCAAGGTGGGCTTGCCTTTGGCCCGGCTTGGTGATTTAGCCTGTAGCCTTGTCTCTCTATGCTTAATGTGGCCTGTTTGCAGGTACAACTTGCTGTTCTTTGTGTCTGGAGGAGGAAAGTTCAATTATCAGGGGACTAAACGATGGCTCGAGGAGAACCTGGATCATACTGGTGCGGCTTTGAGAGTCTCTCTGGATGCTTGTCATTCTTTTGGCTTTTTGTGGTTTGCTAAGTTTAGTTAAAAACACAAGATTCTGTCTGTGTCTCTCTCTCGCGCTTTCTTTCTTTTTCGTTCCCTCTTTCTTCAGTATCCCGAGGAAACATTTGCATGTAAAGTGAACGAGAACTTTTCCAGACAATTAACTAAAAATGACTTCTGTTCCTTTGGTTAAGTTTTGAATCTGTCTCACACCCTGGATCTCACTTAGTGGTACTTCACTGAACTTCTGACCATCTCTCTCTTCCTGCAGAGTCCAGTCTTCTCCAAGACAATGTGGCGTTTGTGCTTTGCCTGGACACCCTGGGCAACGGGAACAGCCTGCACCTCCACGTATCTAAGCCTCCCAAAGAAGGCAGTCCCCAGCATGCCCTGCTGACAGAGCTGGAGATGGTAATAGCATTAGCAGTTTCGATGGTCTGCATGTTACAAGCAGGTTCTGGGTGTTACTTGCGTACCACGAAAAACAAAGTGAGCAGAAATGTTGGGACTAGAATGTTCCATCCTAGCGCATGACTTAGTGCTTCTTATGTGGGATGGATGCCTGGAATCTTCAACATTACTATAAACCTATTATTCTTGCTTTCCTGTCCTAGGTGATCTCCAGCCAGTACCCAGAAGTTAAGTTCTCCATGGTCCACAAGAAGATCAACCTGGCAGACGACACGCTGGCCTGGGAGCACGAGCGCTTCGGCATCCGCCGGCTACCTGCCTTTACGCTGTCGCACCTGGAGAGCCACCGCAGCACGCTGAGAAGCAGCATCATGGACATGCGGTCAGGCTCGCCTCTCACGCCCGCTCGCCGTCCCGCGCTCTGCTCGGGTACTCATGGGAGCTTCTGCGCAGGCCGCATGTGGATCTGAAGAAGCTGAGCCGTAACACTAAGATCATCGCGGAGGCACTCGCCAGAGTAATCTACAACCTGACGGAGAAGGTAGGCCGCGCTCAGGGAGCGGGGAGAGTAGCCAGCCTGACCTCGGGAGCGGGGAGAGTAGCCAGCCTGACCTCGGGAGCGGGGAGAGTAGCCAGCCTGACCTCGATGGGAGGAGAAAATGCAGATCGGGGAACCTTTGGGTGTAGGAACTGCTAGAACCCTTTGTAGTGTTTTGGCCCCTTTTTGTAATCCATGACCTTTTGGAGCATTGATGGGTGACAGATCCTCATTTTACTCTGTAGGGTACCCCAGGAGACCTACAGATCTTCACTGAGCAAATGGTGAGAACCTTCTCCTTTATGAGTTGGGTGTCTTTGCCTGATTGGCTGCCGTCACCCACACTTCTGACTACATCTGAGGGGCAATTGGCAGCACAACGCAGTGTTTTTACTGTCTCTGTGTCCATCTCTCTCCTTAACACCTGTGATATTCATTCACTTTTTTGGCTTCCACTTAGCAGGTACAGAAGGAGCACCTGTCCTCGGTGGTGGACTGGCTGACATCCCAGCCGCGCGCCGCCCAGCTGGTGGACAAGGACAGCAGCGTGGTGAACACCCTGGAGTACCACCTTGGCCGGTACCTGAAGGATGTGAAGAAGCACACGGTCAAAGCTGATAAGAGGTAACCTCATCTGTCGGCCTCATCACACTGGATGAGCCCCCTGACAAAATGTCACCTTGGGCCCAATTTTACATATTTTGCATATTCAAGGGCCCCTGTCCTGAATCTGCCAGGGTATTCATGCCCCTACACTGGACTAATCACTGGACTAATCACTGGAAACCAGCATAGATCAGTACTAATTACATGTACAACAGAGAAGCTGTAATTTATATTTGATAAATCATGTGCGCTCCCTGCACATGATGCATTTGAACAATCTCATCAGTCATGAGAGGGATGGAGGTAAAGGTAATGTTGGAGATCTGGAGCAGTTGTGGGTTCCAGTGGACGCCTACTCTGTGCTTTTGCATCTAAACATGTCAGAGTAATGCTTAATGAGGAGCAGTTGATTTATAAACTGTTTATGTATAAAATTAACTCTGCAGTGTTAGCCTTTTGCCTTTACACTACAGCTCACCTGACCCATTTGAATTCAATAAAACCAGGAATCTTTTTTTGAATGTCCTGTTGTTGCCCAGTAGGTGGCGCTGTGGCCTCATACACCTCCAGGGTTACATGTCGCTGAGCTTTTTTCTATGTTTTGATTTTTCAGGGACCCAGAGTTTGTCTTCTATGACCAACTCAAGCAAACTATGAATGCATACAAGTAAGGCATCATCCTCATGTCTGACACGTGTCGTATGTTTGCTTAGCCCCTCACGCTCTCCGTTCCTGTGCTCAGGGTGAAGCCAGCCATCTTTGATCTGCTCCTTGCATTTTGTATAGCAGCCTACCTGGGCATGATGTACCTGGCTGTCCAGGTAAAAATCTCACTCAAGCTCATGTCCTTTTACGTCAGGGCGCTCATTCCTGCTGGAGATCGACCACCCTGCAGAGCTTGGCCACAGCCCAAATGTAACACACCTGATGGAGAATCTGTCCCATCAGCAGCATCTCAGTGCCAGCTATGTAGAGGCTCTAATACTGAGATGCTGCTGATGGGCCTGATTTATCTGTATCAGGTGTGTTGGGCTGTGGCTGAGTTCTGCAGGGTGGTCGATTCCCAGGAGCAGTGCTGGGCAGCCCTGCTTCATGTGATACTGGATGGGCTCAAGTCAGGCCCATGTTCATCTATGCTCCGCATGTTTCTGCAGCACTTTGGTGTTCTGTACGGCGTCATGCGCAGAGTCATCCAGCCCAAGACCAAGCAGCACTGATGGGATGGAGAGCTTTGGTTCCCCGAGAGCCTGTTTGCAAGGGCTGCTCTACCCCTGAGGCTGAGAATTGTTGTGATTGGGTTTTCTTTTTTTTTTTTTTTTACTTTTTTTTTGTCACGGTTCGATTCGTCTTGCCAATTTTGTCATCCGGAGCTCCTAACTGGCTTCACCGCCGGTGACAGGCAGCCCAGCCTTTGGTCTTCCTCCGCCAACGAGCAGCCGCCGTCCGTTTTGATCCCCGACTGTCCTCAGACGTCTCACCCCACCTCAATTCTGGACACAGGCGACCCTCAGCCATACTTCCATTTTCGGCAGCTATTGTGGGCTTAAAGACGACCTGGTGGGAAGGGTTAGGTTTAGGGTTAGCTGAGAAAACAGGGGTATCACTCATACATGCAGTATTTTATGTTCTGTGAATTTTGGGGAGTATTTTGGAGGGAAAATGGTGGCAATGCAAGCTTTTGCATTACCTGCATGAAATGTGCTACTTAAAAACCAGTGTTGATTTTCCCCATTTGAGACGTACAATTTTTAATTGTTAGACTCCTTTAGAAGACCTTGGTCCTTAATACTGAGATTGACACATCACATGCATGGCCAAAACATGCATTCATGTGTGCATCAGTCCTACTTACCCATGCCATTATCACCGGGAGTCCTTACTGTGTTACGCCTCTATGAAAGATGCCTTCATGAGGGTATTTGAAGTTATCCAGTTCCCTGGATCATTGATGTCCACTGCACTGAGTAATTCTTTACCAACACATTAATGTCTGGTACTTCAACTGGGGATAGACACTTGGATTCCATATAAAAATGGCAGTTATATTTGACATTATGTATCAGATATTAATTCACAAATACTTGCTAGCCATATTCACCACATCGCAAATTCCCTTCCCCTCATTTTCAGGACTTCAAAAGCTTAACTGCTCTGAAAATCCATTTGTGGCATGGTGCTGGTTTGTCCGTTTCACGATGGACAAAACTGGTTTGGTCATTTTGTTCATACAGAGCGTTACAAGAGCCATATACTCCATAAATGTGAAGCACCGCTATCCCAGCCTTACTGCGTCTGACCACAGGAAGTACTGTGAGGTACAAATCTTAATTTATTGGAGCGAAGATTGCATTACTGTGCACTGAACCAAACCCTGTTCTTTTCATTTTACCTACAAGTCTGGATGGTATCACACTTGATTTGTGATGCGTGATTCTCAAGAAAAGAATAAATGTTTGAAAGACTCAGTTTCTGGTTTTCACATTTTATTTGAAGGAAAAGCTGGGCACATGAATAACAGTGGATACACTGATGGTCCTTTCTCAGTAAAAAGGGCCAGTTTCACCCGAATGGTCAAACTGACATTTGTCAGGCTTCACACCAACAAATGAGCCACTTGCAAAACCTGGAACACCTATACACTTTAATTAAAAAATGTCCATGTTTGAAAAATGTAAATCCCCTATTACCATGTTTTAAATAATGGAAAGTAAATTTTAATTTTTTTTTTTAAAGTAAATACTTTTTTTATCTTTCGATGCCCGCTGCTTGACAGTCTTTACTACGCATCAGAAAACATTAGTTAGCGATGGACAAACTGGCACATCATGAACCATTTGCTGTACTTTCTAACCCCACTAGATGGTGCTCTCTGATCCAAAGGAGGATACAAAGCAACCAGAGGGCTCCATCTGGTGGGGTCAGAAAACGCAGCAAACCATCCATGAAGGATCATTTTGTCCATCACTAGTTATAGTTCCCCTTTGAATATGACTGTGACACGCAATCACGGCCGGTTCTGTGGATGGGCCTGGTACATCAGGGCCGTGGTTAGCCAAGAACTCAGAGTCACACCGGTGCCCTAGAGAACCACCTACGGAAGCACTGGCCCAGAAGAAGGGTAAGCGGTGTTCTCAGAACCAGCAGGCGATCCCCGGATCGCTACGTGAAGCTGGACAGGAAGCTGTGCTAGTAAATGATGCTCACCCACATGCAGGCTGTTAGTACAGTGGCCCTGAAGTGGGACAAAAACTCAACACAAGGGGGGAAAAAAATGTCAAACTGACCAAAGGGAAGCATTTTCTTGAGTTTTTTCCCCATTTTTTGAATGTAGCATTTTGCACTTCAGGGCCACTGTATGTTACTGATGATTGTATCAAAGCTACTGTGTCTAATTTGTACGGATTACACTTAGCAATGAGCCAGCAGGCCCACAACCAGTGGTCTGTGTAGGCAACACGCCAAGGACCTCATAATAAAAATGAGAAATTAGCAAAACTGCCAATTTTTACAGCCCAGTTTCAAACCATCTTCTAAACCATTTCAGAACCATGTGATTATCTCACTTCAAATTCCACCCTTATTATAAAAAAAACAAAAATGCAATTACTTAAATACTTTAAATAAGCTACCAATTATAGCTATTAGTTACCAGCCTTCTTACCTTTAATATTTCAACACACGTTAAATAACTAGATTTTCCACGAGAAATTCTGATTTTATCCCTTATTTGAACACAAGTAATATTGTGAAACATTACAAAGACAGATCTAAAAATCCAGAGTCACAAACAAACATTTTCCCTCATATAGCCGATTCCATGGTTGGCGACAAAAATTGCTTCACCACAGAAATGAAAATGACAGTTTCAGATTACAGCCGGAAAAAGACCCAGTTCTTTCAAATAATCATGAGTATAGTGAATGCCACTCTGTCACATGACACTGACAGTCAGCCCTGCTTCCTTAGTGTATCTGACTTAGAAATACTGATGTATCTACTAAACACACCCTGCTTTAATCTCACTGCTGGAGCTGTTGTGTACTTTGTGTAAGTTAGTAAGTTGCCAAAAGTCAAAGGTAATCTGAAATAACGCTCACAGTGTTGTTACATTATAAAAAAAAAAACATTGTTTAAATGCTATTTTTGGATACTCATTTCCTCTAGACCAATTGGCACCAGTCTTGGCCTTGAAACCATCAGATGGGTACGGAGTAGCCTGTATTTATAGCATCTTCCAGCAGGTGGCACTTGTGAGGTCATTACGTCTGCTTTTCTTTCACGATACCATTCGTCGCTTGTTTCCTAGAAGGAACAAAAAAATATCGACCTCTATAAGTAAGGTCATAGTCAAAGCCATAAAACTATCCAAGGCCATAATTCCAGTTCAAGGTCACTTGATAGTAACGCAATAACGCAAATCTCGATCATCGGTTAGGGACACAGTGTGCTGTCACTGAAATACTAACGGGTTTGTTATGGACGATGTCACAGCATTACAGATGCCGAGGTACGGCAAGGCACCGGGTGCTGGCCGCTCTCTGACGGGCCTCTCGCCTTACCCTCTCTGCCCGGCGCCGCGCTGCTCCATCTCGCCGTCGTGCCCTTCCGGCCGCGATGCCAAGCATTCACCTCCCTCGTACTCCCGCACGTCGCTGACCCCTGCCATCTGCCCCTTCAGCACCCTCAGAATTAGCTGCACTATGTACTAGAGGGAGAGTAAGAGCTTTGTGAGCGGGGGGGGCGGGAGGCACAGATGCACACGAATACATCGACACTGGGCTTCTACGCTCATAGGGACTCTGCTCCGGCTTCCGTCAGCCGCCGTTCGGAGCAGCGGAAGGCCGATAATATTGGGCCGGATGTGTAGTGATGAGACGTAAAAGGTGTGTAGCAAGGCCCTTGTCCACATCCTACAGGAGAGCCCGAGGAGACGCACCTGGAGCCCCACACCACATCTTGCAAGGCTGCACATTTAAACCACATTACAAACAATGGTGCAACGCATCCCAGAGTTTCAAAATTTACCAAGTTACCAAATTTAAGCGTGATTTGCCATGAAACCGGTAACCATTTCATCCCCAGCGGAAAGCCACCATCCTGGTACTTACCAGAAACCAGTAGATGTTCATCACAAGGAGAGCGAGCAGGAGTGAGTTGAAGAATATGTAGAACGGGATGTTGGGGACAGACGCCACACTGGATATGCAGGAGGCGTACAGGACTTTGAGTGGGAACCAGTAAAGTCGAAACCAAAACCTGTACAAGGAGCAGAAAAAAAAAGGGCAGGTAAGCTTGTGTGGTTCCCACAGGTCCACGGGCACCAAGCAGCCGTCAGCGTTGAGGATACGGCTCGCCGTGCCAGTGAATGCCACGCGGGGCTCACCAGGTGGCCCCAAAGCTGATGAAGCCCACGCTGGACAGCACGTCGTTGAGCGTGTGGAATGTGCCGCCTCTGGTCTTCAAGTAGATGTTGAGCTTGGTGAACTCTAGCTGGATGTCGTTAATGTCGTGGAGGAACAGGACCAAAAGCCCGATGTTGTGGTACCTGATTTGGGTAAAAGCAAGTTAGCTGGAAGGACTTCCTCTGTTTCCACTGACCATCTATCACAGGGCTGTCAAAACTCAGTCACTGAAAGCCACCAATTCAAATATAAAATTCAATTCAAAGCCACCAATGACTTTGCAGGCCAATCAAGGCTTATTTAGTTAATTAGAATCTGTACAATTAAAATGAACGTCCTTCAAAAATTTATTTCAGTATATTCCAAATTTCCGCACAAAAGCTTTCTTTAAAAAACCCAGTAGACTTAATGCATCATTTATTTGGAATGGTAAAAAACCTAGAATCCGGAAATCATTCTTACAAAGGCCTGAAGTACAGGGCCTGCTTTAACAATTGAACCCTGTCCCTTATTGGGACGTTTTGGTGATCCATCACAGAATTTAGCTGTACAAAAAGCATAGTTAAATAGCACACCGTACTCTTTTCTCTTGGCAAGGCATCTCATTCTCTAAATTGGAAGGCACCCCCCCCCCACTTTGGTAGGTGGATCTGTGACATTATGTCTGTTCTGAAGATCGAAAAGATGAGATACACACTGAAAAGCCTTGATGTGCGATGGTAGCCCTTTGTTTCATACGTGGAGCGTCTGACAGCACCTCTCAGCCCTGGCTAACGGACATTGGGTGGTAAATATTTGGTTAACTACTCTAAGGACTGGTTTTTTTTTTCCCCCCGATTATTATTTTTGCTTTGCTGCTTTGCGTTCCTTTCTCTCCCCATACTCTTGCATGTCATTCCCCTGATCTATTTGTGCTGTTGGGGAACTTCAAAATAAAATTAACTGACAAGGAAAATAACAGAATGAGCCAAAACTTACTTGGCCTTTAACTTTATGTAAATAACGCAAACTTTGTAGTAAATATTACTCCTGAAAATTCTAAACAATGATATACAAAAATATCATCGTTATTATTACCAGAATTAAATTAAATGCATGCGCTGGACCGATGAACTGTCATGCCGGTTACAGTCGGTCAGAAGCAGCAGGTCCGGAACATTGAGTTTTCAATAAATTACATGATCACTGGCGAGAGAGAGTAGTTGATAAGACCAAGACTGTCCAACGGCTCTTTTATAATGAAGTCCGATATGGGGCTGGAAACCCGTCCAGCTACTTCAAATGAGGCGACAGGGACTGGAGCCACAGAGACAGGCCTGCAAGTTAGCATCCCGTGACGTCCAAGGCCAGTTTGCCAGGGCATTCAGGCCAAGAAATAACTAAGGCTTATCGCTATTGCTATTATGCAGTCGTATTTTAGAATTTTTAGTTATGTATTTATTTTTACAATAAGCAAATAAGGGTCTCTTAGGTTTTATTCAGACACGTCAGTAGATGCACACTAAGAAAATCAAATTATTGCTTGAATTCGACTAAAACCGAACTTTTAAGGTACACCTGATCGCAATTAAAGCTTGTCACTTCATTTGTCCACCCAACCATTATTGTTAATTTTATTATTTTTTTTTATGTCTGTGACGTAATAGTATTGGGCTTTTTCCAGTTGACCTAACCAGCTGAAAGGAGCCATATCGCCACCTACTGTAGCAGAGTTGGAAATACTTCTGTCAAAAAATCAATTCCCCTCACATAGTCGAGCTATAACCGTAGTTTGACTTAGCTGGACATGTAAACGTACTGACTGACTTTGATCCTAATTGTGTTTGTGGTTTAATAATAAATCATTTCAGAATAAATTCAAATTTTTCCTACTGAACTGAAATTGCACCGAAGTCTGAACCCAAAACCGTTTCTTGTGGTGAATTGTGAATTTTGTGTATCGTTACACCCCTATTCCCAGGCTATTTTAAACAGGGTATCAAAATCATTTCATGGGCCGTGAGCATCTTCTTAAAACCCTAAGAGACCAATGAAGGTGATGCTGCAAACAAACACGTGGACCAGTGTCTCCTACTTGACTTAACCCCATTTAATGGGCAGCCAAGGCGGCAAAGTCACCTGAAAGCGTAGGAGAAGGAGATCAGGGCCAGAGTAATGATGTGGTGCACAATCATGACGATGGAGTCCTTCCTCCAGGTGTCCATGTAGAACGTGGCGTATATGGAATGAGCGTAGAAGCTGCCCTGGATCAGGTAGGCGATGGCGATGTCGGTGGGCACCAGCATGCCACTCGTCCAGCCTGATTGGGGACACAGAGGGGGGGTGTGTCAGGTCCACTTGGTGAGACAGACACCTGACAAACCCTCCTGCCAAAAGTACTGAGGAAAGGAGCTGCTGGATCCTAAGGATGCACCGTGAGGAGCCACCCAAAGCATCTGCCCCATCATTCGTCTCCACAGATGGTGACTTTGTGAGCCCTTCGGCTTTCCCGCTTCCTGGGCTCCTTGATTTGGAACAGAACCCAGGTTTTGAGGAATAGAAAAAAGGAACAGAACTATCTGGGTGTAAGAAGCCCTTCTTACCATAGAACACAGAGGGCGGGTCCTGGAAGAAGGAATACTGGGTGAAGAAGAGCAGATATGTGCAGTATGACCAAGACATGCAGTAGAACATCAGCTTCCATGCACTCTCTGGCATCTTCTCAGCATCTTTGGGCAGGAGGCAACACCACTCAGCCACTGGCTGCAAGACAGAACAGACACAAGCCTAATCAGCTAGATCTGGGTTCAAAATAACAATAAACAGATTATATAGCTAGTAGTATTGCACAGGGCAGCGATTCCCAAGCTGGTCCTTGAGGACCTACAGACAGACCTACATTTTGTTTTTCCCCATGACTATGGTCAAATATCTGCTGTCTCTTTAGTAGTTTGAACAGTTTTCGGTGGCCGACGAATCACAAATGAATAATGATCACAAGGTGCAGCGAGTTCACTCGCAAATCATACATCGCTTTTTTCATATCCCTGGCACAACCCATAACTGGATTTTCCACTAGCGCTACTCCCGCCTCTCAAAACTTTGTTTTCACAAAGGCTGCAAATTGCTGTGCTACTTGACGCTGTTAAAAGCGTAAAATACTTCCAGATCGTTACCCTCTTATCTGATGTTCTTATGCTAATGCTAAGATTATACAATTCCTTGGTGAGACCTCACCTAGAATATTGTGTGCAGTTTTGGTCACCATATCTTAAAAAGGACATTGCGGCCTTAGAAAAGGTGCAGCGTAGGACCACAAGAATGATTCCTGGTCTTAGAAGAATGTCATACGAGGAAAGGTTAGTTGAGCTAAATCTGTTCAGCCTCAAGCAAAGGAGACTGAGGGGGGACATGATCCAGGTCTATAAGAGTCTAACAGGTTTGGATGCTGTTCAACTGAATAGTTACTTTAGCATTAGTTCAAATACAAGAACTCGTGGCCATAGGTGGAAATTAGCGGGAGAACATTTCAAACTGGATTTAAGGAAGCACTTCTTTACACAGCGTGTAGTCAGAGTATGGAATAGTCTTCCTGATCAAGCTGAATCCTTGGGTTCCTTTAAATCAGAGCTAGATAAGATTTTAACAACTCTGAGCTATTAGTTAAGTTCTCCCCAAGCGAGCTCGATGGGCCGAATGGCCTCCTCTCGTTTGTATAGTTCTCATGTTCTTATGTTCCTCATACTGCAAAGGTTATGCGCATGACATCACAGCAGGCGGAAGTCACTGTGCTCACACCCACAACTCGGCAAATAGACTAAGCTACAGCCTTAGTGTTCAGCTTGAAAAACAGCTATCGGTGATGCCATCTCTGCACAAATACAGGAACTGAGTGTGCAGTCAGCTGAACAGGGTGCAAATGTCCCCACAGACACTGTCAAATCAGAAATCCTACAGCGGCCTTATCTTTCAAAATATCCGTCTATCAGCCTCGATCCAAACCCTCAAAGGTCAACAGAAATATCTGTCTGCCGAATCCCACGGAGCATTTCACAATCAGAGGGGGACGCTGGATGGGGTCCGACCTTGCAGAAGGGTCTGCCTGTCATCAGATAGCCCCCAGGTCCCCACAGAAGCACTGGGAGGCTTGGCAGGTCTCGGGGAGACACACAGCTCATGTGAACCACACAACTCTCACTGTTCCTGCACCTGATCACTGCGATCAGCTAAGAGCCTGAGACATCTACTGCGCTGCTTGAAGGGAACGCGAACCTCTCCCTCTCACACTGGGCTTTTCTTGTCTGCTTGCTTGCCGCCTCGAAGGGGCCCTGGTCGCATTTCCGCTAAAGCAGCTACTGGCAGTGACTGACCGCAAGAAGTCATGCGATCGCACGACACCATCAAGGACAACACAATGTGAGCTGGGTTGGGGGGGGGACTGGGACTGCACACAATATGGCTGCTGAATTAAAATTTAATAACAGCAGCTTAACCAAATAAAATGTATTTCCAGCGCTACTGGGAGCAAAAATTCCCTTTCAAATGTTCACTTTCTTTTAAGAAACAATGTATATAAAATAAATTAACGTAAATTCTTTGTTTATAAAAAAAGTTCCTTTTAGATAGACCTGGCGTATTGCAGTTAACATAATCCACATAAAATCTGAAGGAAAATTATACACCTAATTCTCTTCTAATTTAATATTCATTATTCAGTTACCACATCTATAGTTAAGCTGCATTTTTTTTTCTTACAAATCATTGGTTTTCAACCATAAGTGCTTTTTAAACATATAAAGTAAATTAACATTTCATGAATTTGATGTTCTGATAGCCCATTTTCCAGAGATTAATGAAATTATTCAATCCATCCATCTTTCAATCACTTATCTTGTACAGGGATCGTGCAGCCTATCCTCAGAACAGGGCACAGGACAGCGGATGTTTGTATTAATGTCTTTGTGGGGACCCTCTCTGCATTTCTATGGGCACAACCCTAATCCCAACAATGACGACCTGAACCCCTACCCAGCCCTAACTGTGACCATAAGTAACCTAACATAAGACATGCTTAGTTTTTTGATGGCAATCACAGATTTTTATAAAATGTTTCCCCCCAAAAAAATGCCCCAAGATAACAACAGGTTTTAAATATATGCATCAGTTCGCCTAACCGGATAGGTTTGGGCTGCAGGAGCCCAGTGGAAACACAGAGGTGTGGCTGACAAACTCCCCACCCTTGGAGGCGACACCCACAACAACGTAAAATAACAATAAAACTAAAAACAGAAATGACAGGCTGTGGCACTCGTTATTTAAGTGTAAACTCAGCGCATTAAGCATCACATAGCTTCGCCTTCAGGGCTGGATTCCGGCTTACTGGTGCCGTGTGGCAGTGGAGGTTTGCCGGGCAGTGACATGAAAACGAGGAGATGGCGTCCTCTGCACAGCTTGGGCCGTGACTGTGCCGCTGCGCCCATGCGCCCCCCAGGTGCCCCCCCATCCGCCTGCTTCCTGCCAGTCAGGGTCACCCGGGGCGCACGTGCGATTTGCATGAAGCAAATCAGTCCCTGCGGATGTTCTCTAGAGAGGCCTGTTCTGATGAGGACAGTACGTGCTTTAATGTAAATAAGTAAGAGTCGTCGCACAAAAACACTGTAACAAGCCTTGGGTTCCGGGAGATACAACGTACTATTGTTAATAATTTCACTAAGATTCTCAGAGAGAATTTGCACAGTTCATTCACCGCCAGTGAAAGGACCAGAACGAACCCCATATGCAGAAATCCTATTCACTACAGGAGGACATGCATAATTCAGCTAAAATATTTAATATAGGGATTTGATGCTGTATGGATTAACTCATCAAAAAGGACCCAAAAATGAGTGTTAGAGCTGGTGCCAACGGAGAACATGAAAAAGAAAGAGCGGGAGCAGAAAACGCAGAGCATTCAGTTCAGTGAAACAGAGAGGGTACTCCAGTTCATAGTCCCACTTTCTCTGAGGGAAAAGCCCTTCACAAAGAACGGCTGGTCGCCATAGTAACAGATTGAGGATAATAGGACATGTTGCCAAATGACAACAATGTACTAAAGGCACTTTGCTCTCAGTAACCAGCTGCTCCCTGCCTGTATCTCCATGTTCTTAGTGCTCTTCTCTCACTTTCTTCCTCTATGGGCCTCAAAGCATCTTTCAAAAGACTGTTACACAAGATGGCTAAATGGGGGGGGGGGGTGCATTAGGTAAATCAGCCTCTCTCGCATCTGTTAGCAGACAGATGGCAGCAAAGGGACAATAGCGCCCCCCAGCAGACGGCGGCACACGGCACCGGGGCTCTCTTTGTTCTCAGCTTCTTTGGCCTTAAGCTCCGCCCACCTGGCTTCCAAACAGAGCTGCTGCTCAACTGGCTGTCTCTCCAAAGCTCAGCCAATGGGGTCAAGTCATTTTTTATTTATATGGCACATATAAAATCAGGCAAAGTGCTATACATCGAAATAATACATTAATTAATAAATAAATAACACACATAATAAACGCAAAGACACTGGACAGCGTTACACAACAACCACATAATAATAATATTAATAATAAAGTTTGTGGTCTCCAACCACGCCTTCAAAAAGGAACAAATACATGAGAAAAGACTGTGACACTCTGTGCAGCTTAAGTGGATAATACAGTAAATAACACGGTAGATAGAGTAAAGTTAGCCAGCAGCAGCAAAACTCGCCACGGGGGACGGGGGCCGTGGAAGACGGGGGCCAGCAGCCACAACATTGTCCTAACAGTCAGGCAAACAGGGGTCAGCACACAGAAGTGACCCCCCCACTCTCGGGACTCTCCTAGCAACATCCTGCCAGCGACCTCAGAAACAAATTTTTGCCATCTTGCATTTAATTCCCAGATTTTGCTTTCACCTGATTAGCTTGTTAGTTGATGACAACAAAAACGTTTATATTTTAATTGCTTAAGTCCACTACTGCTTGTTTCGGAATAACATGATTCTATAAAAAGCAAGAGACTTGGGAATAACATGAACTAAATTCTGGGGTTATCCTTGCACAGAACCTGCTGTCCTCAAGACAGAGAACAACTCTCACTTTCTTTGGCCAAAGACCAAGGCATATAAAAAGCCCAGTGTCAATTATTTCAGTGGCCTGGATAGACAACAATATTATTAGCACAACTTACACTCTTTTTTACACCACTTGCATTAACATTAGCCAACTTACTGCCTAAAAACAAGCAATGATACACTGTCCAGTTGCTGTACGGGAAGATAGTGAGTGTCACTTATCTGTAGCTCTTTTCCACTGCCACCAAGAACCGAGCTACAGACCAAGACCTTTAGCGTCACTGCTCGGTAGCTCTTTTCCACTGCCACCAAGAACCGAGCTACAGACCAAGACCGTGAGTGTCACTGCTCACTCTGACCAAAAGCGTGACCAAACTGAGCTGGATACATCACCACCATCTGATTGGTTGAAATGCGATACTGGTGTTCTGTGCATGGATTATCTGAAGGAAATAAAGTACATTATATATATTATTCATTATTAGTACTGTCGCACATCACAATGTACGTATTGATGCATTCCTGATAACTCCAATTTCCAGCCTCCTTCTTAAGGTACTATGGATGACCATATGGAAGAACTAAACGGATTCGTGATGCAAATTTACACGAGCGAATGCTAATTCCGCTAGCTTTTGATGCTAACATAAGACAGATTCTCACAGACCTGCTTGCGGAAATTAGCACACAGTAAAATAATAATAATAATAGTAACTCATGACGTACACCATGTGACCAGTAAATGAGCGGCTCTTCAGGTTTCCCCGATGACTCTTGGGATTAGCCTATGATTTTCTGTTTCAGGGGCTACAACCATATTTATATAAAATTCACCGAGATTCATGCAGCAGGGGTATAAAAAAAAACAGATCCAGAGGCAATGGGTAGGAAGTAATGGTTAAAGACCAAAAAGTTTAAAGTTCAAGTTTCATTAAGGGGCCAGCCATAGTACCTTTGAACTGGATCCTAGTCTGAATTGCTATAGTGCACTGTAAACAGGTCACAGCAACAATAAAAACCGTGAGGAGGCCCTTATACACTCACCATGCATGCAGACAGAAAAGAATAGCAGGATCCCTGCTATTGTCATGCGTACAGCCACACAAAACCGAAAAGTCAGACTCATGTGACAGACATAAACTCTGCTATACTCTCCTCCTCCACAAATCCAGGGCCGATAAGCCAAGATAAGTTTTTGATTTGATTACGAGTTAGTAAGTTCATTCGGGTCAAAGGCAAACACTGCAAAGTCTGGTCACAGTAACCGAAGAGAAATGCTGAACAATGAAAAGTGAGGCAGTGTGAGGAAACGCAGGGTCCTCTCATCTCTGTGATACCGCCGGAATTTATCAGCCATTTTACTGACGGGAGATGCAGGGCCGGTCTATGAACAGCTACGATAACAGTGCGGACGCCTCGGTAAAGACAAGGGCTCGTCTTTCAGTCACGACTCAGACCCAGTTTACAGCTTTACCCTGGAGAGGAACTGCGAAATGTCCCACAAAGCACTGATGAAATCTCCAACACGGCCATCAGACCATCCTTGTCAAAACTGAAGCTGCTTATTGTCAACCACAAGGTGCCAGTGGTCTAGAACCTAGTGCTGTTCATCCAAACCAAAAACCAACTTCTGGTTCTTTCTTAAGCAGCATGTCCTCGTTTAGGATGAGAACGTCCTTAGAAATTGGCTCGATCCAGGACCCTTTCCCCGATTATCATTAGGAACAGCTGCACAAGCAGTATTTGGTGGAGTAGATTTCATATAAATATGAGAATCACTGCGCTTTTCATGCTGTAATTAAAATCATGTTTGGTAAGCATAGAGATATGCTGAACAATTAACTTCATGTGCTAAATAAATAATTCGATAATTTGGTAAATAACACAGTAGAAGACTGCCTTCAGGTTCTCTTCCTAAAAGCAGAACCAAGCCAACATGTGGGACACACATGACATTTGGATCCGCCCTGTGGTTACACAAGAGGCCAGCGTCACAGACATGCGCTCATCACAGACATGCGCTCATCACAGACATGCGCTCATCACAGACATGCGCTCCTCACAGACATGCGCTCCTCACAGACATGCGCTCCTCACAGACATGCGCTCCTCACAGACATGCGCTCCTCACAGACATGCGCTCCTCACAGCACATGTGTAGAAGCATCCTGATAGATGACTGACTCTGTAGACACACACACACAAAGCCCCTAAAACTGAACACTTCTCAAATACTGACAGCTGTGAAATCATAACAGAAAACTGCAAGCAGAGTTACTCTGAGGAACAGCCGTGTCTGCGTGGGTTTTATCTGGCATGCACTTGGTTGAAGAAAAAATAAATGCAACTATTAGCCAAAGGGCTCTTATCCAACCCGGGTTCTAACCCTAACTGATTTCAAAGGCCTGTAGCTTCATTTCACTGCAGGCCAGTGTCAGATAAGCCTTCACTGGTCTTGACCTCTGACCTGATCACATGGTACTCTTTATTTCTGTCTTTTCCTTTGACAGTGACAGAACGGTGAACTCGTGAGCATTACACACTCATTTGCTGCCCGTCTGTCATTGATTGGGGAGAGTTACATAACCAACACAGACCGAAAAAAAGGTGCACTTGTGGCCCTGGATGTGTGTCTGATTTCGGTCCTCCTCTGCCATTGAGAGCCAGATTTATGCAACACTTATATAAAGCAGGTGTTTACAGGAGTAGCAGGTAAGTTAGTGGCGTAAGGGAATAGTGTTGGTCACAGAGGGGGAGCAGCTGTCAGACCTTTGAGTAGTGGGGCCCTAACGTGAGCTAGTCTAAACAGAAGCTAAATAATGTAGCACTAAGCTTCATGCTCCTTGGCAGGTGTTACAACACAACTGGAAATAGAAACAACATAATAAATTACGATAATCTGTTCATCTTTACAAGTGCCGCATTCCACAGAGAGACTACTCCCCTCAGAGTGACTACTCCAAACATACTCCAGTAACAGCCTTAACTGCTCTCCGGGCCCCCACAAAGTACTGTATTATATATAATATTTATACTTGTATAATAAAAATGATATTATATATACCTAATGAGAAAGAAAAAGAGCTTCTGCATTAAGTTTAGTGTTGTACTGAAAATTGATATATGGTAAAAATCTGCATCGCCTTATTATGGGAGACTGCCTACAAAACTACGCATTGTGCTGCGCATGTATACGCATGTGCCTCTGTCTGCGGATATCAAGCTTCAATAACTTTCACCTGACTGTCCATCGTTTCCTGGTCATTTTCCACATCCATTAATATCCTTTACTCTCAGACAGTTTTGTTTGTTTGGTCAACGAGCAGCTTCTCCAGTGGAAAAAGCATCTGCCTCACTTGTTGTCCCTCCCACGGTCTACATACACTGAGATATGCATCACTTCCCGCTATATAGTAGCTAAAATCTAATGGAACAAATGCCTCAGAGCTATTAACATCTATGGATATCCATTTACTTAGGATCCCGTTTCCAATCCTCACCATACAATGTCCAAGGCTGTTTGTCTGATTCCACATTGCGCTGAAGATGTGGCTCAGACAGTAGTTTAGATCCATCATCCAGTGAGACTCACATCACGTCTCTGCTGTCCGACTGCTGCGATTTAGGATCCAACGCAAACACGCTGAGCCAACTATCGGACTCGGACATCATCTATCCTCGCCGTCTTCCAGCTAAACTCTACGGAACCGTAAAAGAATGAGTCACTCACCCTGAAAGTAATACGCCGCCTATGTACTGTCTACCATAAAGCATTAGTTTGCAAGTCTGTGGCAGTTTGGGTGCATTTGATTAATTTCCCTATATTTTTTAAGCAAAGAAAGTCAACAGGCTTGGCTTCCATACATAAACAATGGCAAAATTATACAGAAGTAAATAGTTCAAAAGGGACAGTAGCTTCCTAGTTAATAGATTGACAAACGATCAGAACTGTCACCGCATGGCCCCGCTGAATCAGCCGTGATAAGGGATTACGCTGGATCTCTCTGGTAAAATACCAAGCTATATAAATTAACCAAAGCAAAGTGTTAAGATATTTTAGTGTTATCGCAAATAACACTTCTACCTACATCAATGTTAGGCAATAGTGTGCGTGCCTAGAAAAAAAAACGCCGTCAGTGTTACTATAGCCTATATAAGAGGCGCTACAGTGAATGAAAACATGGGAGATGAAAAGAATAAAATGTAACATGAATGAATTCTGTGGTTTTCCTTCAACATAAATAGTTCAAATGCAGTTCAAAGCGACCTCATCTCCACTTGGTAAACTTTTAAATAACTCTGGCTAAATGTCCCCGGCAGAGGTACCTTAAAGAGGCAGCGGGTGAGCCGACGCCGGAGCGCCGTCCACATCACGGCGCACATCGCGAAGAGCCCGATCTCCATCCAGGTTATATGGGCGTTTTCCAGCAGGGTCCGTTTGGAGAGCTCCACGCCGCAGTCGCCGCAGTCCTTCAGCACGCCGAGCATAGCGGTGTAGCCTCGGCTGATCAGCTCCGAAAAGCCGGGCGGCGGTTCGGGAGCCCTGACACTCGCACCCTCCATAGGGTCCAACATGATGAAAATACAAAACGCCGACTTTTGAGGAAAGTCCGTATTTGGGAACGAATCGACCAACTTATATCTTACACACGCTTACGTATGGGCGTTGTGCAAAAAGGCAAGATAGTTGGCGAATTAGCAAACCCGAAAGCTGCTTAGTGGAGCCTAATTCTTTGTTTCTAAATTAATACACGGGACCATCGCACATGCACTAGGCTATTGTAAGGAAACCGGAAAAATAAGTCCTATATTCAAAATGCAGGGCCCAAACAATTTAACAAACAACACAAATTATATGGTTTAAAAGTGCGGTTCATAATCCTTACGCTAAAAATAAGTCCGAATCTTCAACTTTAAAGCATTTTCGCTTCGGATCTTAGTGTAAAATGCCGAGTTGTACCGGCCTTTCCCCGCACAGCCACCAGCTGCTTTTACGCTCAGCCCGCTCGTCCTGCCAGAAACTGGAGAAATATGCCGTGTTTTTTAGGCCTGCCCCCCCCCCCAAAAAAAGCTATAGCGGTTCGCTGGGAAAAAGAGAGTGCGATAAAGGCTCCGCCACTACTTTTTGCGAGAAATTACAGTTCCATATCTATTAATGCTTTGCCGTTAACAGTTGCTGCACCGCGTCGATTGCCAATTCAAGACGTGTACAGGGAATGGGTTACAGTCCGAAATAATCTAGACAATCATTTAGCATTCGTGATAAATAATATTATTAATTTCCTTAGCTTTCCCTGCGGCGCCGGCCAGCGGCTCCCCTGGACAGAGGCTTCTTGACAAGTGGCAGAAATTGCGCGCAGTTTGAATCAATGGAGACTCCCGTTTATAAATCGGCACTTTTTGATGAACCCAGTTCTTTTCTATTAACATGAAGCGCCGGATGTATGTCTCTGCTCCTGTCGCGGCTTGTTTCGAGAGTCTCTGACTTCCGATAAGCAATGCAACCCCCCCCCTCCCCGAAAAAAAGCAACGAGTGGCGTGACGTAGTCATAACCCACTATCCTGTTCTACTGAAATGATAAAAAGTGCCAGTTTAAAGTGGCAGTATGACCGTCTCGATTTCTCAATATGAATAACTCTGATCAGATCGTGTTCCGATTTAATGTTAATATTTACCGTCCAGGCAAGGAAATAGATCTGGGTATGGACGGTAGGGACATCTCAATATTGTGGGAGTATGGTGTGTGTTGGGGGGGGGGGGGGCAGGGTTCAGGGCTGACCTGGTCCCTACAGATACTGAAATCAAACTAGTGTCCAAGCGTCCTGGGCACACAAACGTTATTTTCATAAATCCATACACCTCCATATACCCCTAGTTAACAAACAGGCAAAGTAGGCTACTCTACTCCTCTACGGACATTCCCTATACCAACTTCATAAACTTTACAAAAGGATGCACAAGGACAATGTAATCAGGCATGCGTATCCTCTTCCACCATTACGTTACTGGAGAACTGTACACAACCAACAGTGTCAGGTATATTCATAGAGGTGAAAATTGTTTTTCTAGCATTAAACTAATAGTTGGATATCATAGATATTTAAGCAATCTACTATGAAAAAGACAGCCCCGCCCCCCATGCCAACCAAACAATAATCTTACTTAGTTGTCAAAATATGACATTTCAGAAGTAGGTTTATATTGTGGGTTACAGTTTCTGTTATATTCAGGGGCAGAGCTAAAAATTCTGGGGCCCCAGAGAAAATTGCACCTTAGGTCCCAGCTGGCGCCCCCCCTCGTAGATTTTGTTAGGTGTGAGACAGCCCCAATAAAGTGCTGGGGCCCCTGAATTTGTCTGGGTCTCCAGGCCTCTCTGATGGGGGGGGTTGCCAAAGGGAAGAGGGACGATCGATGGAGCAGCCCGCCACAAACAAAAGGCTTACTAAACTCAAAAAAAGAACACAAAGGGGAAACCAGAAAATAAAGTGACTGTGACGTGTCAAAACTAGAGCACGTGATGCAAGCTAGCTAAATTAATCACAAAGAAAACAAATACTAACCAGGGAACTGGCACAAAACTGGAGGCAGGACTGGGAGACAAAAACACAGTTACAGGTACAGCTACAACTGAGACACTTAAATATACAGATAACAAGGACGAACAAGGGGCAGGTGTGGGCTATAAGGAACGCAAGTGAGCTCAATTAACAGACACAATATGTAAAAACACCAAGGGAAATTAAAACAAGGACAACCGAAAATAATACAACCAGGGAGCAAACAGAAGGGACTGTAACCAAAATACATAAAACACATGTTAAATCAAGAGAATACAAAACAACAAACAGTAATATTTAGTTGAGGCTGGCTACCCACAACCAAAAGAGGAGTCTAGATGATAGCTGATGCCTCAGCCCATTAATTCATATGGTAGACCAAGGAATAGGGAAACACACTAGGGATTGAGGGCCTACAAGACTGAAGGGGGAACAGGATGGTCAATGACACCTAGTGGCCAAATGGGGACAAGACAAATGGGAAAGGATCAGATGGGCACCGGTCCTGGCACCCTGATTATATAACTTATGTACTATGAACACTATAAACATATGTACTTGCATTAAAATGGTCCCTTTTGTTGAATTACAGAAGTATTAAGGTGCCTGCTTTTTGAATAGGAACAATGTGTACCTGTGTCACAACCACCTTTGTAAACCCAGTATACCGTCAGTCCTGCTAAAACACACGATATCACACCGCAAATATGTTCTAATGCGATTTATATATCAGTACCCAAGTCTAATATAACATGGAATCGCATTTCTATTTGTGAGATTTTCAGTTGGAGAGAATTGAACTAGGTGAAGTAGAATGCGATATGTTCTTAACAAGAAACATTACTTGTACGCAAGAGGAGCTAGTGAATGATAGTGATGTCTGATTTGTGAATGTAGCATTACTTTGAGCTGGTTCATTTCAGTGAATTAGTCGAACGAGTTTTCAGATCTAAAAGAATCTACTTTTTTTTTTTTACATCCACGCATTGCACAAGTGAAAGGCTTAGATTCTAAAATTAGAAAAATATTTCTCAATTTATCCTATTAAAACACAGCAACATTTTTTCATTCACTTTAATTATCTGTACTTTTCAAAGACTGTAGCTATGGTGCCTTCAGTGACCCTCTGCATGCATAACCCTTTGTCCATAGCCATGCAGTCCCCAGACAGTCAGGCAATATTCCAGAAGTTGTTTCTAAAGATGAAGGAACCTTTTGTAATCAAGATAAAAAAAAATGTATTCAGGGAGCAAAAGGTATCCATGTAACCCAACAGAATTGTTTCCAATCTGATTAAAAGTGTGAAATAGACTAGGAGCATGATTATATACTAGAAATATCTTGGAAAATATATAATGTCTTCAAAGACCACAAGGCAATTGAATGTGTGACCTGAAACAGAGGTTACAATGGCTTCTTCATGACAGCAGATTAAATAGTATGAAAGAACACATTCAAAGTCAGTGCATGGTTCTACATAGGCCTATATTCATGAACTAATTATTTACTCCTCACCATGTATAACCCAGTGGTCGGTATCTGTTTGAAAACCAGAAACTGAATTTGTGCAATAATCACAATGAACTTTACACAATCTTTTGAAATTGAATTTTCTGTGTCTTTAGTTTTTCAGATAGATGATAAACAAGTGGTGTGACTTTCTGGAAATAGTACATTTACATAGTCAAAATAGATGAGAAAAGCTGATGAAATTCAGCATATACATCGCTCTGTGTATTGCCTTTGTGCCTTGTCCACTTGGCAATATATCTTTCTTTGTCTGTGCATTGTTTTTGCTGCTGTATGCACCAGAATTTCTCCCTTGTGTCAATAAACTTAATCTTTATTCCAATCCTAATCTTAACCTTATAATTAATCTTACACTACACTTTGAATTACTGAGATGCCATATAAATAACATGGACCATCTTCTCTATTTAGGGGTGGCATGATGGCATGGGGCTTAGCGCTGTCACCTCACACCTCTGGCACGGGTTCCATGTGTGTGGAGTTTGCATGTTCTCCCATCTTGTTTCCTCCAGGTGCTCCAGTTTCCCCCTACAGTCCAAAAACATGTTGAGGCTGATCGGAGTTGTCAAATTGCCCATAGATGTGTAGATGTGTGAGTCTGCCCTGCGATGGGTTTGCCCCCCCATCCTGGGTTGTTCCCTGCCTTACACCCATAGGCTCTGGCCCCCCGCGACCCTGAATAGGACAAGCGGTTTCAGAAAATTGATTGATGGATACAGTACGTTCCTTTAATTCGGGTAATTAGTCTTTGGCGCCATCTATTGGTTAAAAATATTTTAGCCGACAATGTCAGGGGAACGCACATTCTGATCATTCCGGACTGTTTGAAGTAATTATTTACCTTGTATGGAGCCTTATGCGTCACATCATTCAAAATGAATATCCCTGAAGATCCTATACCAGAACTCCATTGGAAAATATACAATGTTTTTAAAAACAATCGTTTACCTATATTGGAACGATAATTAGATAGTCAGATTTCCACCTCCACGCGCCCAGTTTTGTCGTGGGGTTTCTTCCGGGTTTTTCTCAGGAAGATGACTTGCCAAAATTGTCCGAATTTGGGAATGCTGTGTGAATAGTGTGTGTGAATAGTGATGGGTTGCCACCCCCGTCCTGGGTGATTCCCTGCCTTGCACCTTCCGTGATAATCTCCAGACCCCCAGCGACCATGCCTAGGGCAAGGCAAAATTGAATGGATGTCACTGAAGAGAATATCAGGCGACGTCATCATGGCATCACTATAAGGGCAGAAATAGTAGTAAAGGTAGTGAAATAATGTTCTGATCTTCGTTATTACGTCCCTCTTGACTGCCCATGTATAACATACATTTTTATGACGATTATTTAAGCAGACTCTCTTGCTGGCAGTTTCACGTACGTTAAATGCAAGGACGTCCCCGGTACGAAAGCGTTCCAGCTGGCCCTTCCCTTCAGAATAATGCCTTTGCTGCGGTTTCCTTCCTGTGCTGATATATTGTGCTTTCACACCGCCAACATCATCCAGGAAGTTTGCTATTTACTATATAGCATTAACTCAACCTCCTGTTTACTACAGCAGTCCTAATAAATTTATTGGGACTTTCGTACTAAACTTCTGTGTGCTACTAAACTCACATTCATCCGTCCTTTTTTTGTAACAGCTACAGCAATCAATTATAGCATAGCAGTGGAGGAGTTAACCAACCATCAGATTAGTATCTATGTTCAGACACTGAAGTCACCAAATCACCCTTGAAAAAACCCACCCAGACTGCAGGGACAGAATTCAAAACCTCTGGAGGTCTGAGGGACCTGACACCATGACATCAGTTGGGCCATCTGTCTTCCGTAGTCACTTATCCAAAGCTGGGGTGCAGTGAGCCTGATGTGTAGCGCAGGAAAGACTAGACACTAGACAGAGGACACAGTGGATAGGATACCAGTCCATTGTAGGACACACAGTCAGTCACTCACTGGATAGGATACCAGTCCATTGTAGGACACACAGTCAGTCACTCACTGGATAGGATACCAGTCCATTGTAGGACGCACAGTCAGACACTCACTGGATAGGATACCAGTCCATTGTAGGACGCACAGTCAGACACTCACTGGATAGGATACCATGTCCATTATAGGACACACAGTAAGTCACACACACAGAGTCAGGGCAAAATTCAAATCTACAGCCCTGCAGTTGTCAGGCTAGAGCATTACCCACTGCACTAAAACATGGCTTGATTTTTTTTTCAATTATTTAATAAAACAATAATATTTATTTATCAATATGACTAATCAAGGTTGCCATGCTATCTTAGCAGGATTTTGCTTTTAGAGGACATACATCCCTCCCAAAAGAGTCTCCCAGAATGCATTTGGAAATGTCACAGCGGATCGTGGCCAGAAAGTGACCGAGCTGAATTTGGAAC